AAGTTTAACTGGGTTCGTAAATAATATTGGCCTCAAAATATTGTGGCTGAGACATGGGCCGATTAAACGTATAGGAAACCTAGAAATATAGTAAAAACGCTGAATAGTAATACTCGAGCATTGACACATGCGGACGTTGGTACGTGTAGGTTAGTCTACAACCTAAAGTAATTTGGTTTTACCCGGCAGAACGAAAGAAGGAAACTCCGCTTTTCAGTCGTCTTAGGCCCTTGTTTTTTGACAAACAATGACCTTTCAGAGGTCAAATTGCTGTCAGGAGAGGTGTCTAGTATTGCCAAAATATAATTTATTGAGTACACGAACGTTTTCGGGCATCGCCCTTCATCAGGTATACGTACAGATAAATATGAATACGAGAATAAATAAATAAATAGAATACGGACGTAGTATGCAGCATCATGGGAAAGCGTTGATATACAAGCTAAACAATACCTTAAGGGCGTAGTGAAAAAAGCCAACTAATCAGAGTGGAGAGGTGCTATAAAATATGGCGCCAAAAATAAAAATATAAACCAAGATGATAACAACCGGGATTGTAATAAATGACATAAATAAGTGTAAAATATAAAAATAATAAATGGGAATGATCGTATATAATGGATAAAAATAGAAGTATATATAAAAAAAACGCAAATGTACATAATAAATCCACGGTCTCAGAGATAACAAGTAAAGCATAAAAACAAGCATAATATCAAATAATAATTATAGTTTAAATGATTTAAAGGAAACATTAAGTCCACGAGGAGCTAAAGTACCGAGACGATGGATAATGCGTTCCTCGGTGTTTTTCCTGACGTGATCGGATCCGTGGCATAAAGTGATAACAGTTATTTTGATTTCATCCGGACTATTGTTCCGCTACAGGGAGGCCAGGTTGTCTCAGTCTTATAGACCTGAGGTGTTCCGTGAATCTGTCTGCCATACGACGCTTAGTTTCACCAATGTAGATGACATCACATTTAGTGCATAAAATGGCATACACCAAGTTGACAGATATGCATGAAAATTGATCTGTAATAATATGGTTTCCAGAAGGTCCGTTGATTAATTCCATGGATTTGACGTGGGCGCAAGTCTTACAGCGTGGTCTTTTACAGCAAACAGTAGATCCTTTGGTATCAAGTGAAGTGCGTAAATTAGAATGAACAAGAGTGTCCCTGATGCTGTTATCGCGACGATACGCACAGATTGGTGGTGATTTAAAGATAGTCTCAGTGGATGGGTCGGAAGCTAATATGTCGAAGTTCTTGATAGTAATTTGAGCCACTTGTTTAGTCATGGGATGGTATGTTAGGACTAGGGGAGTCCTGTCAGAATTGCTGGTATTATTGCGTGGTTTAAGGGCTTCTTCTTGAGAAATACCATTGAGTTTTCTGATGCATTCATTGGTGATAGAAGCAGGGTAGCTTCTTGTAGAG